AAAGAAAGAAAGAAAGAAAGAAAGAAAGAAAGAAAGAAAGAAAGAAAGAAAGAAAGAAAGAAAAGAAAACAGAAAAATGCTTCATGACTTTTCCGATGACCCAACAGGTTGTAAGGCAGGTACTAATGATTCAGCTTTGAGAAAAAGAGTAATTTCTCTTTAAGAGTAATTCTAACTAGAATGGCTAAAAAGAAAAGGACTGACAATCCCATGTATTAGCAAGGATACAGAGCAACTGGGGCTCTGAATCTTCGCTGCTGGAGTATCAGTTGGCGCCACCACGTTGAAACTCTTTGGCAGTGTCCAACAACTGCTCCAGCAATCCCACTCCCAGGCATATACTCCGGTGCTTATGTTCACTGGAAGGCATGTACAGAAAGCCCACAGTGCTATAATTCATAATAGTAAAAAACGTGAAGCAGCCGTCCAAGTGCGAAATGGATAAATAGTGGTACAGCTCACACAATGCAATCAGACAAACGATAAAAACTACTATGCAGTCCCACATGGATGAATCTCACACACGATGCTGAGCAAACACGGCCAACATAAACAAGCATGTTGTGATTCTATTTATATGAAATGTGAAAAAGGGCAAACTGATCTATGATGATAAAGATCCGAAGAGTGGTCATCTCTGGGAAGGCTGTAGAGATCAAGTGGAACACCTTAGATCTGTGCACTTTATGGAATATAAGCTATACTTTTTTAATTTTTAATTTGTGAGAGGGTGGGCGTGTGCTTGCCAGACAGACAGAGAAAGAGGGAGGGAAAATGAGCAAGTACCTCCCGTGTGAGATGACCACACCGCGATCCCTTCTATTTCTCCCTTCTGTTGGGATTTTGGGCATGTATGTACACATGCCTGGTGTGTTTCCAAGCCGCTGATCCAGAACCCGAGCTACCCAGTTGGCCATGTGGAATCCAGCAGCCTTAATCGCCACACTACCGGCTGGCCCATTTATACTTCAATGAAGAAAATAATAAAAGTAGATGTCTATTGTGTCTTCTTCTTCCCAGATGAACAACTCATTACTTATTCATCCAGTTTTTCGCTGCTTTGCTTCTTCTGAAAGAGATTTGAGGTGACTTACAAAGGTTTATGGTGTTGAACAGCATTTATAAGAGAAGAAATCTGGGTGATGCAAAAAGAAGGGCAGGAAGTAAGATGAAAGCAGGTGGGGGGGGCTGGATCTCAACATTTATGTCAGGGGGTCCTATGTACTGTCGAGGGTGAGGCGAACGAGTTCCTGGAGGTCCAAGCAAAGAAGAAACAACAATTCTGCAGCCAGAAGTTAGCCGCACAACTGATCATGAGCTCTGACTGTCCTGAGAGCCGAGAGAAATTTCTTCCGTGCCATCTCAGAAAAAAGGCAAGTATGTGATCAATCCCCATTTTATTGATCTAAAAGTCTGTCCGTTATCCCATTTGTGACCCTGGACGATTAAATCCCTTTAGCCCATGTGTTTGCCATGAGGCAAACTTAGCCATGTCCTCTCTGGTCCCCACAGAATTTAGGAGGAAGCGGCCACTGACATCTGGTCCCTCCTGAAGCCCAGATGTGGGCCTGGCAACTGGACACTGTCTACTTCCCTGGGTGTAGTTTAGGGGCAGCCCTGCGCATGAGGGCTAAGTGTCTGTTCTTTGGCTGCCCAGCTTGCCATCCTCATTTCTGGAGCCTAGGCCTCTGCTTTGCCACTCGGCCCATCTCCTTCCTTGCTGGAACTTCTCAGTGGCCCCGATCCTTCCCCAGCAGCTCTCTGGGGGCTGGACTCCTTCCATTTCGTTGTTTGGGTTAATGGATCTCTCCACTTTCTGGCTCCAGTTTTTGAGTTGAATTCATATATTTCTCCGGTCACTAGAGAAAAAAATAAAATACAAACATATAAACCAAAGAATTCAAAGGATCCTCTCTTCTTCCATTCTCGCCCTGCTCTATCTTGACTCCTGAGAAAGATGAAGTACGCTAGAAGGTGTGAAATCACCGAGTAAGGCAGCAGGCTGGCCAAGAGCACAGTCTACACGCTGCAGGGCCCAGGCCACACAGGTAGCAAATGCTACGCCTCTCAGGACAGAAAGGTTCCGGAGCATCTCAAGGCCATCTCAATTGTAAGAAGAGAAGGCCACATAAATCTCAAGCTCCATGCAAGCTTCAGATAAATTAGGTTCAATTTCTAATGGGGTTGTCCATTACTTCCTGATTTATTTTGTTTGTTTTAAAAGACCCCTGAATCCCCGCTATAAAAATGAATAAGCAAGTAAGGAGGAAAAAGACTTTGATTTTTATTTATGTTAGGTTAGCAGAGATTTGTAGACCCAGACACGCAAATCCGGTCCCACGTGAGAGAATACTAAGGGGCCACTTTGATGGTGTCAGAGCTGGCGGGACACTAATTGATGTGTTGTTCACGTTTGGCCAGTTGGCTCATTCCTTCCATTTTTCTTCTCTCAAACACACAAAAATGGAAAAGTCCTCTCTGGCTTTTGCTCTGAAAGATGGGGTTTCAGGCAAGCCCTTGCTTCTGCCACTTCCATAGGGCAGGAGTGGCCTCTGGCTCAGGATCCCACCAGCACTTATGCTAATGTGGGCACATTATGGTAACAAGTACCTAATAATAGAGGGAAATTTAATTCCTGCAGCAGGAGCAGCCTCTCACTGGAGAGGAGCCATCCTCCTTCTGAGGAAGACCCGAGCGGTTTGCATATGTGGGTGGCAGAGGGCCAACACACTTGCCTCCTGAATTTGGTTTCCTTCCCTTTATTCACATCTATAATTGAGCCTTTGTGAGTGGAGGGATGTGTGTAAAAGAGCTAAATTTGGAGCTGATTTCACGGGGGTGAGGAGAGCTCTGGAGGCCAGCTTTACCTTATGTTCATCTTTCCAACCCAGAAGCAATTCTTGGCCCTGATCTAGGGAAAAAAGAAGCCAAACTTGCCATTTCTTTCTATCTTGCACTACCAAGAGGCTGGTATTAGGAGCATTCGGCAAAGAAATGGTGTGGGAGTGATGAGTACCAATGAGTAGGGGGAAAAAAATGAGGGTTCTTGAATTCACCGTTTCTCTAAATTAGTTCATGAGATAAGAAGGGAGGTCAGAGAGGCACGGTCTTCCAGCCTGAGGTTTCAAGGGGAAAGCTGCCGAGGGCTCCCAGTGTGTGCGGAGTGGCTGCAAGCCAGCCATGTTCAGAACGCATTTTTATTTTGGCCTAATAGGGTTGGGCCGCGTGGCTGAATGAACTGACACACCGAGCTCAGAGTAGGAAACTGGGTAAGATCCTTCATGACTCTACCAGCCTGCATGTGAAATGGGTGGCACTGACAAGAGGTGGCATTGACGGGATGCCATCGCCACTTAGTTACCTGGATCTGTGGCTTCTCCATCAAAGACAGTGTTCATCTGGATAGTTTCCTAAGGAGAAGAAAGAGATAGCTTCAAGCACAACTCCATACCCTTCCCCTAGGCAAGCCACTCATCCTACAGCCCAAGTTCCCT